AGTGGACAGGAGACTGAAGTTGGTTCTCAGTTCCTTATTTATTCCTTATTTGTGACTTTATTCATTAATTCAACCAAAACCATTGAGAATAGTTTAAAAGCTCTGAAACCCAAAATAAGGTTTGAACCAGTGTCCCCTCTAAGCTGAGTTAGTGTGAGCTAGCTCACAGTTTTTTAGCCTGCAGCTCACACATTTTTGTCTTAGCTCAGGAAGTATGGCTCCAGAGCAAACTAATTTGTGCAGTAGCCAAGTTGCTTGCCCACAACTTTAATGCCAGTAGCTCACAAAGTAGAATTTTTGCTCACAAGACTACAGCTTGGACGGAACATTGGTTTGGACCACCATAAATCATACATCCACACATTCATCCTCATTTAGTGGACCCCATGTTTTTCAGAACTGTGCTATCCCAAGACATAAATTAGAAAGGAAGGATATTAAACTTATGAGTTGAGGAAGTTTATTGTCACAAAACAATTATTTTGTAGGTCTGGTATTTCAACACTTCTCTAAAGTCATATTTGTAAAATTAGAAGTACAATAAAATTCGTGAACTTTGTTGCTAGGCAGCGAACAATATTATGCAGATCCCCTCAAAAAAGATCAAGAAGATGCGGGGGAAATTGGGTTAAGCTGCGGGGCAAAATGTGGCTGCACAGCATGTAGTGGGAAATTGACACGTAGAATGGGGGGGAGGAAGAGCGAGGACGGAGCAGCAGCTAGTGGGAAATTGGTCTAACTTTTGCTTACTACATAATGTTTTCTTTGCATTCAACTTTTATTTTTTCCTACTGCTCAGATGGCAGAAAATAAGATACAAGTACTAAGGTAGGATAGAATGAAGCAGTTGGTAGCTCTTGGTTGAGTACTGGGTATATTTATTATTTTTCTTGTGGGAAACTAAGGCATTTATATGTAAGCATTCCTTAAATATTCCAAATAGTATAATTTTATTTACCAAGCTATAAATAATGTATTTTACGTTGCTGAATCAGTAAAAAATTTTTAGGTTTAATTGGAAATTAGTATTATATACATTTCATTTTTTTGGCAAATATTTTTTCAGGGAAAAAAAAATCCTCTGTGGCTTTAAAATTTCCAAGAATTTTACATCTCTGCATCTTCCTACCCACTTTAAGTAGCTTTCCAGAAAAGATGGAGAAATCTTCCATAGCTTATATCCTTTGCATTTCAAGAATAGGAAAGAAAATACTAATAACCAAACGCTGAATGTTCAGATGCCACACAATAGACCACCATCTATATTGTAAGACACTGAAAGATTTGGTAGTGGTGCTGATTGTGGTAAAAATTCTCAGGCATTGGCTGTGCTGTCCATATGTCCCAGGTGGGTCACTGGTTGCAAATGGCTGACTTGCTGAGATCCTAGAGAAAGGCAGGGCAGGAAATAAGAATGTGTGGAAGGAACAGGCAGAGTGTAAGAAGGCAACCTAGGTGAGGTGTAATACCTCCACAGGACCTGGAACCAGGGCTATTTTTGGGCAGGAACGCACAGGAACGGAGTTCCGGCTGGCTCCCAAGTTGGCCATGCCCAGCAGGAACTCATTAGCATAATAGGCCATACCCAACAGCAGAAACTCATTAGGATTGGGTACATTAGGGGTGTGTGGCCTAACATGCAAAGGAATTCCTGCTACAAAAAAGCCCTGGGTTTTGACAACAAACAAGGTAAACAGAATAACAAGCAAAAGGTGGATGTGGCTGGATAACCACACTTCTGGCAACATGGGGGTGCGGCCTAATATGCTAATATGCTGTGCTGTCATTAAGGGTGTGGCCTAATATGCTAATGAGTGTCTGCTGTTGGGTGTGGTCTATTATGCTAATGAGTTCCTGCTGGGCTTTTTCTACAAAAAGAGCCTTGCCTGAAACCAATCCAGAACAGAACTTATTAGAACCTTGGAAAGGACTGGTCTGGGCTCTGCTAGGCCATAACCAGCTATAGCCAGCAAATAATATGATATGAAAAGTGAATCTAAAGCAAAGGCTTTTTCTTTAAAGTAGGGTTGCTAAGTCCCTTTGTACTCACCGGCAAGGGAGGCTCTGCCAGCTCCGGATGCGCGCGCGCGCAAAGCATTGGTGACCGTAATCTTCGTGGGGGCGGCGGGGCTTCAGCCCCCGCCGAAATTTTCAGGAAAGTGCTCAGCCTCCCCCGGGAGCCACCCTTGCTCCTAGCACAGCAATGCCTCTGGCCCAGCCCCAGCCCCCCCCGGGAAATTGGAAAGTCTACACCCTTGTTTAACATAATCCTTTAAAGTAGGGCTGCCAAGTGGGGGCCAAGTGCCAACTTGGCAGCCCTACTTTAAAGGATTATGTTAAAATAACTATACAATACAATAAGGGAACGTCACCAACTTCACATCTCCTCAAAATATAAGATAAGGAATGTTGAAACAAGGAGTCTTCTAGATTAATGAGAACATGAGGCAAATGAAAAAGAGAATGGACATAAAGGAGATGTGGTCAGGAACTGCAGAAGGGAGAGAGGCTGAAATTCACAATTTAATTTTGAATAGTTAGGTCTGGCTATAGATGTATTTTAGTGCTCAAATGTTTCGAGTGCTATATAGTGAGAGCCCTTGTTCAGCTGCTCATGCTTACTTCAAGGGAAACATACTTTTGTATGCCACAAATCATGCCTGAAAGTTTCTGCACTGGGCAAATTCTGTGATTCAGGAAATGTTTTTAGATCCTGTAAAGGCTTGAGTAAACTGACCAATTTATCAAGAGAACCTTCAGAAATCTGTGTCAGTAACAAAGGATTTGTTGTTGTTGTTGTTTAGTCACACAGTCTAGTCCAACTCTTTGTGACCTCATGGACCACATCACGCCAGGCCCTCCTGTCATCCACCATCCTCTGGAATTTGCTCAATTTTATGTTCATTGCATTGGTAACACCAGGGCTATTTTTGGGCAGGAACGCACAGGAACGGAGTTCCGACTGGCTCCTGAGTTGGCCACACCCAGCAGGAACTCATTAGCATAATAGGCCACACCCAACAGCAGAAACTCATTAGAATTAGCTACATTAAGGGTGTGTGGCCTAACATGCAAAGGAGTTCCTGCTACAAAAAAAGCTCTGGGTTTTGACAACACGGTAAATAGAATAAGAAGCAAAAGGTGGGTGTGGCTGGATGACCACACTTGGGGTAACATGGGGGTGCGGCCTAATATGCTAATATGCTGTGCTGTCATCAAGGGTGTGGCCTAATATGCTAATGAGTGTCTGCTGTTGGGTGTGGTCTATTATGCTAATGAGTTCCTGCTGGGCTTTTTCTACAAAAAAAGCCATGGGTAACACTGTCTATGTACATCCCTTGCCGTCCCCTTCTTCTGTTATTTCCATCTTTCCCAGCATCCAGTGAGTGCTCCCTTCTCTTTTGGTGGCCAAAGTATTCGAGCTTCAGTTTTAGTATCTGACCTTCCAGGGAACAGTCAGGTTTGATTTCCTTTAGGATTGACTGATTTGATCTCCTTGCAGTCCAAGGGACTCTCAAGAGTCTTCTCCAGCACCATAATTCAAAAGCAAACAAAAGATACCATGTATGAAATCAGCCTCTCTCTTTTTAATCCTATTTTTCCCCAGTTTCATTCCATCTTTGTTTGGAGTAATATGTGACACTGTGCCTGGAAGCCAGAAACTGTTTAACTCTTCTCTTTTTGTTTAGTTCATCTATACCACAATGGCCAGAATTTTCTGACAGAAGAAACATTCTGTACAAGTGTTAAGGATGGGATGTTTTGACTTCAGTTTGTGGGATGAGGAGACATACTCCATCTGAACAAATACACCTGCAGGATCAGTAACTGTTTCAAGATCTGACATAGCCCAAAAATATAAAGGTAGGACATGTAAATCAAACTGTGGGAGCTATGAAAACTAGCAGTCAATAAAAACAGTAAACCTATCAAAATCTTCTCTTGTCATCTTGATTCTTGCTGTCTTTACTTCCCTTACAACCATCCACCTTGGCCTCCTAACTTCCAGTTCACTGGCTCTTCCTTAGTGTTGCCAAGTCGTTCTGACTCACCGGTGGGGGAGCGTTGCTTCGGTCTGGGAAGTGACATTGGGGGCGTGGCCCAGATTGTCGGGGGGGGAACCATATGGATTTCCCCCTGACGATCTGGGCCACGCCCCCAACGTGCTTTATGTCATGCGTCACCTCTGGTGATGCAGCTTCGGGGGGCAGACTTCCCTCCGGGACCCGATTCCGCCATGGCGGAAATCGAGCCTCCAAAGCGGGGGTTTCCCCGCCCCCTGCCCCCACTTGTCAGCCCTACTCTTCCTTCCTCTTACATTTTCAGACACTTTGTTTTTCCAGGCCCCACTAGAGGTTTATCTGTTCTCTTTTTTTCTTACATGGCATTCTTGGGCAGCAAATGTTCATGCCCCAAGTTGGAAAGACACTCTCTCTATTGCTGTATCAAAGGCCTCATGGCTAGTGATAACTGAGGACCTGTTGTTTCAAAAATGTAGTAAAATTCCATCTGGGACCACTCAAAACAGAATCATGGTAATGGCCATAGCTCTGCCTTATATCAGAGCAATCCTATGCATGTGTACTCAGAAGTAAGTCTCATTTTATTCAGTGGGGCTTGCTCCCAGTTAAGTGTTCTTAGGATTGCAGTCTGTATATTCCAGTCATTTTAGGTATGGGAGGCCAGTTAGGGCTACTCACTTTCAATTCTACTTGGCTTCCAGAATTTTGGAAGGGATTTATCTGTTGATGTCAGTGGCTACCCTATGGATGACCTATTAAACTCCTGGAACAGAAGCTTGACCCTGGCCATTGACACAGCAGCTCCTATATGTCCTCTTCACTTGTACTATAAACATGTTTCTTTGCCATGTACTTGCAAAAGTAGGAGATGGTTGAATTAACAAACGAGTGTTTTATGTACATGTTTGTTTTCTTTTTGTTTTGCAGGTCATTCTTATGCAATAGGCTAAAAGTAACTTAAATGTGCAGGATGAAAAAATGGCACAGGCACGGCTGGTACCACCAGGACCTGACAGCTTCCACTATTTTACTAGAGAATCTCTTGCAGCTATTGAAAAACGTTGTGCAGAGGAGAAAGCTAAAAAGCCCAAACAAGATCATGCAGATGATGATGATGAAAATGGCCCCAAGCCAAATAGTGACTTGGAAGCAGGAAAAACGCTTCCATTTATATATGGAGACATTCCTCCGGGAATGGTGTCCGAACCTTTGGAAGACCTTGACCCATATTATAGCAATAAAAAAGTGAGTGTTTATTAACACTGGATGGACTCTGGATGTTTTGTCTAAATTTTCCAAATGTTTACCATTAAGTTGATTTCTGAGAGCTTATCAGTGTTTACCAGTATCAGTAACTTTCTCTCTGCTTATGCTTGACTTCAGCTGCTCTGTATTCTGTAATATAGCTGGAGTTTCACAAAGACCTTCAAAATAGTTTTACTCTTTGTAGAATTATTGTACAGAGGAGGAGCTTTAGTTTAATCATCACAATTTATGCTGAAGTAACATGTCTGGCCTTGAAAAACCAATGGGGTTGCCATAACTCAGATGGGACTTGACAGCTCTTTCCGCCACCACCAAGGCAGCCTTTTCTGACAGACCCACAACTAGCTAATTTTACACCTAAGACAAGAATACAGAATTGTGCCCTCTTTACTAGTTATTTTGGTAGAAAGGGAAATACAAAGATAACAAGAGTAATAATAACACCATGCTTATTGTAGTTATACTTTTTCTCCACCTCTCAGCTTTGAGCTCCTGAGGCAAGCACCTCCCTTGCCTTGCCTTGTTACAGCTCCGTTTTCCAGTCAAGAACCCAAGTCTAATACCCAGCTGCAACCTGGTTCCATGCTTCAGTTTTTATACTCCTTCTCTGTTCATGGTGACCAGGTACAAAGGAGGACTGTTATATATTTTAATAGTTCTCGTTATATGACTATTAAATAGTTATATAAAACTATTGGATACTTAATAGCAGGGCTATTTTTGGGCAGGAACGCACAGGAATGGAGTTCCGGCTGGCTTCAGAGTTGGCCACGCCCACTCCAGCCCAAACCACTGCATGCGTGGCTACAGAGGGAAGGCCTGGAGAGTAACCCCCCCCAGTGACTCCAAGGCGGGCAGGCCGGGGGGAGCATGGAAGGATCGGAGAGGCATTTAAATGCCTCCCCGTGCCATCCCCGGCCTGTCCAAGGGCTGGCTTGCCTGGGCTTCCTGCAGCCACGAGGCACCCGGGCAAGCCAAGGGAAGGCAGTTTGCGAGCAATTAAGCATGTATAATCCCACTGGTCTTTCTAATAGTATTTAAATTCTTTAGCAAGAGATGCTCTTGTACTTTATTTCCCATCAACAAATACGTAACTACAAGTTCTGTTGTTGTTAACAATAATGTCCATTAACTTGCATGTGACATGGATCTGAGTCCACTTTCCATGGGAACTATACTACTGATCAGCAAGAACCTTTTCTTCTATTGAAATTGCAGTGGAACATCAAACTGTACAAAATAATTGTTTGCATATGATACATAATGATTTTTTTTCATTATGTGTTCTTTTTATTTTCCAGACCTTCATAGTATTGAATAGAGGGAAGGCAATTTTCCGATTCAGCGCCACATCTGCCTTGTACATTTTAACACCTTTCAATCCCCTCAGAAAAATTGCTATTAAAATTTTGGTACATTCATATCCTAGTATAAAAATAACAATGTTGTCCTAAGTAGAGTTACAGTGTTCTAAGCCTATTCACATCAGAAGACTTAGAAGGGTGTAACTTTGTTTAGGATGTCACTCTAGGTATCCTTGTTGGTAGTTTGATGACATTAGGTCTCTAACAAATTATATGCAACTGAGAAACACCCACATAATACATTGCGTATTCCTTTCCTGATCATATTTACTGCTTTAGTATTGTCAAATGGTAATTCTAGATTTATTATCTAGATTCTTAATGTACATATTCACAGTAATGCCCATGAATAAAAATAGTTTTTATTTGATTAGATATATGAAATTCTGAACTTGATTGCTCATGTTTTTAAAGGATCGGCTATGAACATAATTAAAGCCTTATCTCTGTGGTACCTGGATCACAGTGAGATGTTTCAGCCAAATGAGAAAACACTGTGACAGTTAGTGTGGGACATATGGAGGAAGGTTGTGGAAGTGGAAATGGTGCATGGAGTGGTTGGAGTGAAGAGGAGTGAAAAAACTGGAAGAAATTATGATCCACACTATTTTTGTTAATGCCAATATTTTTCTTGTATTAGTACATTTTTAAACCCTAGCCTTCCTCTAAAGAGTCTAAGGATAGCATATATGATTCTTCCTTCCTGGTTTTAGTCTCATAATAACCCTTTTCTGTATGTTAGGCTGAGTGGTTGGCTGTGGTGTTTTCCCTCGCCAACTTATGTAAAAGTTCCACCTGTGCTTCCTCATTGTCAATTTGGCGCTTCAAAGCTTCCTGTAATCTATTAATAAACTCAATGTATGGCTCAGTAGCCTTCTGCCTGATACTTGAGAAGGTTTGTTGTGGCTTGCCAGAGGCTGGAACTCTCTGAAAAGCCCTGAAGGCACACCCAGAGGAGACCTCCAGTGTAGCTGCAGGCAGAACTATTTGCTGAATGGGCTGGGCAAAGTCTCCATGGCCATAAAGCTGTTCGGCCGTATAGGCGCCATTAGAGGCTCGTCCCCTAACTAAACATTGTTGTTGAAATTCACTGTCCCACACCACATATTGAGCTGGAGATAAAAGCATGCGGCATGTTGTTTTCCAATCCTCAGGGACCAGAGTATGATTTCTCATTAAAGCCTCTAACATCCCTTGTACATAAGTACTTTGTAAACCCATATCCCGAATCCCTTTGCGCAATTCTGTTAAAATAGGATAGGAAATGGGTCTATATTCCACAATGTTATTCCCAGCATTATCCTGGTCTCCAGTTAGATGCACAGGACACACTGATAACATTTCAGAAATCTCTTTGATTTCATCCAAGGAAGGGTTCTGATTCTTTAAATGATCCATCAGCACACTTCTTGGAGTGGCATGTGGAGGAGTGGGAAGAGAAAGCTGTTGCTTATCAGGTGGAGCTGTTGGCAACAGGCTCGGGGGGGGGCGGGGGGAGGGTAGGCCTCCAAGGGCAGAGCTGGAGCTGAAGGCAGAGGGGGATAAAGTATAAGAGACTGTGGTGGTTTAGGCAGAAGCAATTGAGCTCCCTGGCAATAGGCAGGGGCCCCCTCTTCACTGCATTTCAAAGATGCTAGCGAAGAGACAGGTATTAAAATTTTGGTACATTCATATCCTTTTCAAGTAGTTGATTTCACATGTTTGAAAATAAATTTGAAATGTTTTCCAACATCATTTTTTTGGGGGAAAGGAGCATGTTTAGAAGTAAGTATAAAAATAACAATGTTGTCCTAAGTCCTACAGTGTTCTAAGCCCAGTCTTTAAGCCTGAGAGACCCCCCCTCCGGGTACCAGGGGCAACGGCTCTGAATTTCCAAAAGCAATTGAGTTAAACTCGCTGAAGACACTGGCCTGCCAGCCTTCTGCGTGAGAAATTGCAGCTCTTTTAAATGTGTTTGCTGTGGGAGTGCTAGTTTGAGACCCATTATCTCACCAATGAGGGGCCGTGAAAACACGACGAAGTGCACTGTGGGGTCTTTTGCCAGATGGTTGATGAGATGGATTCTTCCTCGAATAAAAAGTTTTTATTTGATTAGATATATGAAATTCTGAACTTGATTGCTCATGTTTTTAAAGGATCGGCTATGAACATAATTAAAGCCTTATCTTTGTGGAACCTGGATCACAGTGAGATGTTTCAGCCAAATGAGAAAACACTGTGACAGTTAGTGTGGGACATATGGAGGAAGGTTGTGGAAGTGGAAATGGTTCATGGAGGTTGGAGTGAAGAGGAGTGAAAAAACTAGAAGAAATTGTTATCCACACTATTTTTGTTAATGCCAGTATTATTCTTGTATTAGTACATTTTTAAATCCTGGCCTTCCTCTAAAGAGTCTAAGGATAGCATATATGATTCTTCCTTCCTGGTTTTAGTCTCATAATAACCCTTTTCGGTAGATTAGGCTGAGTGGTTGGCCCAAAGTGGAAATTTGAACCTGGGTCTCTGAGATCTTAGTCCATCAGTTTAGCTAATACATTACATGGCTCTTTCTATTATGCTGTTGTGAACATGGATGACAAGTGTGTCTGGAAAAATAAAAGACTGAATAAAACTTAGGAAGTCAATACCTCTGCAATAATTCTTTTATATTCAGTAATCTGTAATAATTCTGTAAAAAATCAAAAAAATGTAAGAAAAATCTGCCCTGACCTGGTTAATATCTGCGTAGGATCCCACCAAGGGATACCAGGGTCTCTACACAGAGGCAGGCAATGGGAAACTGCCTCTGAATGTCTCTTGCATTGTAAACCCTTCAGGGTCGCCATAGATCAGCTGCAACTTGACTGCAAAAAACCCCCAAACTTATGCGTCAAATTGATTTTTTGCAAAAAAAATATCTTCTGTTACAAAGTTAGGACTAGTCCGCACACAAGGCATACAGAGTTATCTTCCATTGTATGTACTTGCAGGCATGTCGAGAGCATAACCTATTGACTTATAGAGCCATAGAGACCTGGCAGCAACTTCTACAATTTCCACAGGAACATTTGTAGCTAATGCTACAATAAAATTGCTGTTAACAGTCCCACAAGGCTTTTACCTGTCTTGCTGCAATAGATGTAATACGGCTGTCCTTCAGCATTCTGACATTCATTTACTGTATTAGAACCCGGTGTATGCAAGACTTATTTGAGTGGGTGCTGCGTGTGATTTCACTTTGTGTCATAGGGTGCCCTATTTAATGCTGATGCTCCTTGACTGTGCTTTACATTATTCAGCATGCTTATTATGTGCACTATTTTGACCAATTGTGTATTTATGACTATGAGCAACCCTCCGGAATGGACGAAGAATGTAGAGTAAGTCATTACCTTTGAAAAGTTGCAATCAATTTTGTTTCGATGTTGTTGCAGTTTGTGAATTTTTGTCGATTGTCTCCATAATATTTTCCCACAATATGGGTTGGATCCCACAATCCATCAGCAGAAGACTTCAATGGTTGTTGATCTTTCCTGCTTTCTCCTTGCCTAGTAGTACCTGCTAGTCTTGGGAAGGTTTATTCCAGAGGCAGCAGGATTTGTGTGGCCTAATAGCCACGCATGTTGGGAGGGGAAAGGGGCAAAATATCCTTTTTTGTCTCTTCCATCAGCACCAACCCTATGAATTATGGGGGGTTCATCCTTTTTCTCACTCAAAATCCTCCTCCTCCTCTTCTGCATTTTCATTTGTTGCAGAGGTTCATGGCAGCTTAAGTGGTTGAGTCCACACACACCCCTTTTATCTTCATAACAACTCTGTGACATAAATTAGGCTGAGATGTAGGGACTGGCCCAAAGCCACCAAGGAGTTTCATGGCACACTGGGGAATAGAACCCAGGCTTGCCAATCCTGCTATCACTGTAACAGCTGTATATTTCCAATTCCCCTGTAATATGTGGCACAGTTAGTTTGAAATCTGAATTTGTTTCTGCCTAAATCGTTTGGTAGTGTATTACAGTGTGCTGTTTGGAATAGTGGGGGGAGAAGATGATTCAGTCTGAAGGTCAAACTTGACCTGATGGAGATCATAGAGCTTTTTAAAGGGAAATGACAGGCATGCAGAAGCCCTATTCAAACTGGGGCCACATAGAGGGAGGAAAGCTTGGCTTTGATACCCTTGCACAGTTTGGCTAAACCCCCTCCTCCACACATCTCCAATCTGAATCAGGCTCCCACACGGCTATAATTGTATCCTCCTTGTGTCCTTTTTAACTTCAGTCAGGGAATTCCTAGAATCTTGACTGTTCTGACCCTGCAATTCATGATTAACAGGCTATTAGTACTTGCTTTAGTCTACCCACTCTATAGCCTTTGTTATTTAAGAGGGTTGTTCTCAAACCTTAGAGCCCCTGAGATTTTTTAACACAACACGAAGAGCCATTTATACCAAGTACTATAAATGGGAAAGAGACCTTTAGAGGCACTGAACAAAACATGCAAGTTATTTTATTTATTTAAAACATTTATTAGCCATCCTTCTTCCTTATAGGAACTCAAGGTAAATAATAATAAACCCCAATAAAAACATAAAATACATAAAAACACTAGTTAAAATCAATCATTTAAAACTTTGGGTAGGCGGACGAATGAATCAAATGCCATCCTAAATAAATAAAACTCACTTCAGCTGCCTCCTAAAGATAGAGAGTGAGGGAGCCAGGCATATCTCCCTGGGGAGGCTGTTCCTAATTGTGCCTTCCCTTCCCAAAAGAGCTTCCATTCTGTGTTCGATGGGGTAGACAGTGGATACATCGGTGGGGTTGCCAGCTCTAGGTTGGAAAATACTTGGGGATTTGGGGGGTGGAGCCTGAGGAGGGCAGGCTTTGGGGAGGGGAGGGATTTCAATGGGGTACGATGCCATAGAGTCCACCTTCCAAAGCGGCCACTCTTTCTAGGTGAACTGATCTCTGTCTCCTGGAGATCACAGTAGCGGGAGATCTCTAGCCACACCCTGGAGGTTGTTAAAATGATCAGTGAAGAATGCAGAGGTCATTTCGGGGGGGATCGCGGGGGAACGCAGTTCCCCCGGGTGAGGTGCAGGGGGCGGGGCACATGATGAAGCCCTGCCCCCTGCTTCCAGCTGCCCCGCTTCCGGCCCTCATTCAGCCAGGAGGAGGCAGGAGAAGAGGGAGGGTAAGTTGCTTCCTCCCCGCCTCTCCCCACCCCTGCCTGCCTGGGGCCAGGGAGGGCCTTGGCGGGGCTTCCTCGCACTCCTGCTGGCCTTGCAGGTCCACCGCCGGGCCCCTGATGTCAGGGGGTGTGGCATATGCTAATGAGTTATGCTAATGAGTCCCCCTAGCTCTTTTTCTACGAAATGACCCCTGGAAGAATGAATATTTGTGAGAGAAAGTCTGGCAGTAATGGAGGTGTGGTCAAGGCCCAATGTAAGAATTTTGAAGGTGGGTCTTAAGGAAACACTTGTTGCAGAAGAGGGAAATAGTATGAAAAGCGGGGAAGAGGAAGCTGGATAGCAGGAGATCCAATTATAAGAGAAGGCATTCAAGGAAACTGAAGGAGGCATCCAGTATGTCTGAAGCTGTTGCACGTATCATTCATCCATTGTAGAGGATAAAATGAATTCACAATAAAGTGTTCAATGTAAATAAAATTACTTAGGAAAACATATTTGGGTCCAGTGATTATTTGAACCACATTGTGCTCCAAAATATCAGTAGAACATCTAGCTTATGTAAAGATGCTTTGAACCTGTGGGGAAGAACTGAGTGTCTAACATGAGGCATGCCATATTTTTTTTTCTTGCTAGGTACACATTCACTGGAATTTATACCTTTGAATCACTTATAAAAATTCTTGCAAGGGGCTTCTGTTTAGAAGGCTTCACTTTTCTTCGAGACCCTTGGAACTGGCTCGACTTCAGTGTCATTGTGATGGCGTAAGTGGTTTGACTATTAAAAAAAAGAACTTATAAGGGCATGAAATTAGTGTCAGCATGTACCATACCAGAAGGCATGCATGCATTAACTTAGGGAAAAGTCCTGCTAGCAGTGAGGTTGCTTCACTACATGTTATCCCATTTTTAGTTCACTTTATGGAAAAACACCGCAAAAGTGTTTAAGGTGTATGATCCATTACTTACTTGCTTTTTAGGAATGCTAATTTCATGTCCTGCGGTCCTTATCCATACTAGAATGGAAACTATCATTTTGACTTCGTGCCACTTTATTAAATTATTTTAGCTTAGCTTTTCCGATACAAAAAGCGAGTTTCACTTCAATGAAACTTAAAATGTAGATGACGGTTAATAAATAGCAAAAGCAAAATCACCAAAATGGTCTTAATGAAAGACTCCCCCAAGCAGTTAGCTTAAGTTCTGCCTCAATTCTGAATAACTGTGATTTAATTCTACAGGTATGTAACAGAATTTGTAAACCTAGGCAATGTTTCAGCTCTTCGAACTTTCAGAGTATTGAGAGCTTTGAAAACTATTTCTGTAATTCCAGGTAAGAAGTAAGTGGTGTAAGGTGTTAGGTCCCTTGTACCTCCCAACTGTTCCTTTTTATCCTGTCATTGTGTTTGTGTGTGAACTCCCCTATTACAGATATGTGACAGAGTTTGTGGACCTGGGCAATGTCTCAGCGTTGAGAACATTCAGAGTTCTCCGGGCATTGAAAACAATATCAGTCATTCCAGGTGAGAGCTAGGTTAAACACGAAGGCTGACTAGTTCCATTGAAGTTGAGTTCACAAGCTTAAGCCTCGTCCATCATTGCTTATGTTACTAAAAGGCAGGAATCAAAAGAATCAAATGATTCCTTGTCTTTTCAAATATAACAATTTTTTTCATTTGCAAATTCAGCCTTTGAGTTTAACAAAAAGATTGCATGAGATATCTACAGAATGTGCAGTCTATGCATTATATCTTGTTTGGGGGGTTGCTTTTTTCCCATTTTTTTTTTTGTGTTTTGCATTTAAAGGTGGCAGGTTTTCTCTTTTGTACTGACAAGCTTTTGTCAAAATGGCTTTTTTTGTTGACATATATTTTAGCACTTATTGCTTCAGCTCAGTTTTGAATTACGTTTTGAAAGCTATTTTTTTTAAAGCTGACTGTTTATATAAAGGAGGATGTTGCTTGGGAGCATATTGATGAATGTCCAGATGAACATGGACCAGGATAGTACTATTTACATAGCTTTTCTTCTCCAGCTATTTTAAGTAAACAGTTTTATTTTAATTTAGATGGTTGTGTTCTGCTTTTGACTATAAGAAGTCCTGTAGGTGAATTACAAATCAAGAATAATAGAACACAGTAATCACAATAAACATATTCAACATATGCTTAAATACATATTTGTAATAAACATGTAGCTACCTGAAAGTTTTCCTGAAAATAAAGCTAAACCAATATATTGTGGTCAATGAAAATTCAATCTTTAAATTAAGAGAAAACAAGTACAGGAAAATCTTATCAAATACTACAAGCAACTGATGACTGATAAAGCTTACTGTTTTAAGATGAAGTATGTACATTTAGTTAAATGTACACTGCACATTCATGAACAGGCGGGTTTTTGCTCCTCGTGCATTTTCACAAGTGTTGATGGTGTTCATGAAGCTTGAGTGTTCTACAGTAAGATGTGTTTTCTGCATGCAGTCTTTTTTAAAATGTTGGAAAGAATATTTGATACCTTTAAATACCTCTTTGGATCATCTCTGTTTGCAGGCCTGAAGACTATTGTGGGAGCCCTAATTCAGTCAGTGAAGAAGCTCTCGGATGTAATGATCCTGACTGTGTTTTGTCTGAGTGTATTTGCACTAATAGGGTTGCAGCTGTTCATGGGCAACTTGAGGCATAAATGTTTGCTCTGGCCTCCAGACAATTCTACTTTTCAGATAAACATTACCTCCTACTTCAATAGCACAATGGGAGAAAATGGTTCATTTGTTAATACAACTGTGAGCACATTTGACTGGGAGGAGTACGTTGAGGATGAAAGTAAGAACAAGTGATATAACCAGTATGTGCAAAAAGTTGTTTCATGAGTTTGTCATGTTGGGATAAATGTATCCAGTTAAAATAGGATTAAATCAAGACTTCAGTCTTTAAACCAAGTAATCTATTGAATCACTCAGTTTAAAAAGTTATATAGCTTATCAGGGAATGAGTTCTTTTTTACTCATTTAAATTACCTACAAAAACGATGAGCAACAAGTTCTGTTAGAAAAGACATTTCCCTCTTCTCACACTCAGGAGGGAATATCTCTTCATACTTGCTACAAGTACATTCATCATCTGCAAATAAACAAAGTATTTTCCCTTCAGAACTGTATTTATTCATATGTAAATGTATGCAGATTTAATCAACTATACCTTCAAATGAATTGCCTAAGATTTTTTCATTGTCTTCCCACTCAGATTAATATATTATATTCCATTAATCAATTGCCACCAGCCAGGCTAAATATGATTTGAATAAACAGGATAATAATCCTTAGCAATATGCATTCTTTCTTTTTTACTTTTTGCAGTTCTGTGATATTGTCTAATATTATATAATACTCAGGGGTCTTGTTGTAGAAAAAGAGCTGCCGGAGCTCATTAGCATAACTCATTAGCATAACTTATTTGCATATGCCACGCCCCCTGACATCACCGGAAGTGACAGAAGGCCACACCCCCTGACATCGGAAGTGTGTCAGAAGGCCTGGCTACTTACCCTCCTGCTTCATCCTCATTCCCAAACGGAATGAGGATCGAAGCAGAGGGCGGGGTAAAGAAGGGGGCGGGGCTTCACCACGTGACCGCCCCGCCCCCTAGAGGTTCTCTTCCGGAGCTCCGTACCTGAGAGCTCCCCCCCGACTAGAGCCCTGATAATACTAATACAGTAGTAATATAATATTATAATTGTAAGTAATATAACATAGTAATATAATATTGATAGTGCTTGGTTATGGTCAGCTACAATGATTTCTTCTTTTCTTTCCACAATTAGGTCATTTTTATGTTTTGGATGGACAACGAGATGCCCTTCTTTGTGGCAACAGCTCAGATGCTGGGTAAGCATTTTTATTAACCCACTGTATTCTGTATACATCCCATAAAAGCGTTCGTGTTCACGTGACTCTTTAGCACAAGTGCAATTATGCAATCTTTCATGTTCACATGACTCTTTATTGCAATTGTGCAATCTCAGCTCCACATGCATATTCCATTGCCTGACTACTGGGCAGTGATGTACCATGGGTGGGGCAGTGGGTGCACTCCACCCCACGTGCAGCTTGAGGTAGGCCCTTGAAGTAGGGCCCTTGAAGCCAGTGTCATGCTGCATCCAGCTGAACATATTTCTTTTTATTTTTAAAATGCAGTTCTGGCTGCAGCCACTAGGGGCACAGGGAAGTCTGAGCATAGCAAAAAGCACTCTAAGGTCAACTAGATGTCTTTCTCCTAGACTGAAGCAAACTTGCTTAACTGATCGTACAACCAAGCTAGCATTCTGATAGCTGCTACAGTAATTGCCATACTGCAGGTCATTTTCTCCAATACTCTAGCCTTTCTCTCTTCCTTTCCTTGCACCTCCCTCAACCAGATCTTGCAAAGCAGTAGTTAGGGTGTTCCAGCAAGATAAAACAACCTTTCCCTTAATTTATCTCCCTCTTTTTCACACATTTCGCATTCATTTCTGTCCCCTTTCACCTAATTCCCCCCCCCCCATATTCACTTTTTGTTCTCCTCATCCCTATCCTGCTTGGTGATAGCATGTATTTAAGAGTAGTATAGTAGCAAACCTTTGTTAATATTATGAACTGGGCTTGCTGGGTTTGCTGGACACCGTAGATTGCACTAGTTCTGCTGGGTTTCCAATCACCCCCTTACTTGGACTGTAATTCTGCGCTTGGCATCAGTTGACATTGCCGCAATGACACTGGGTTCTGCTGGGCACTCTGTGCTTGCACTGGTACTGGTGGGTACTCTGTATATTGCACTGCTTCTGCTGGACTTGCAAAAATGCCCTCCCCTTCAGTTTCTACTGCAGAGATTCTCTGGTTTGATTTTAGTTCTTTAGAAACAATGGAGGATGGGGGCACCTTCTTTGGGGGGTAGTGTGTTTCTGGTGAACATCCAGTCTGGTGAAGCTTGAGATCACTATTTTGTGATGCTTTGGCTAGTGTTAGTTAGCAAAAGTTAGTACAAAGGCAGACTCCTACCTCTCAAAAATGCCTTGTAGATGTTTGGGGTGGTCAACTCTAGGGTTTCAAAATGGAGAACAGAAGCCCTCCCGAGTGCCTGTGTAGAACATGAGTGGTGTGATGGATTTTTTTTTTTTGCCTTCAAGTCACAGATGACTTATGACAGACTGTAGGGTTTTCAAGGCAAGAGACGTTCAGATGTGGTCTGCCATTGCCTGCCTCCACATTGGCCTTGCTTAGTTTCTGAGATCTGACAAGGCTATTCTGGGGCTATCCAGATCAGGGCTAGTCTGAGAATAATGGGATTGGCCCTGGCCCATAGCCACAGTGGAGCTATTGGGGGCCCACAAGATTTTTTTGAGAAGAAGATTTTTTTAGAAGAATGGTGGGCTGCGCGCATGGCCCCCCGCTTCTTCTCAAAAGAACAGAATTTTACTTAATGTCATCAGATGTGGATTATAGATTAACAAAGGGAAAAGGGGAATTATGTCTCTAAAGATGTTATGAACGAGGCAATGGCTGGATACCTTTGAAGAGTATGGCTCTCTCTTTTTTGTTTTATATAACTCTTTAAAAAACAATAAACCTTGCCCATTAACAATGGGCAAGCAGAAAATAATAATAAAAAAATAAAGGTATCCTTTAAATGCTTTTGAGAAAAAGCAGGGGATGGCACGTTCCCATCTCCCTTTTTCCTGCAAGATCTAAAGGGCCCTCCAGCTGATCGGTGGGCCATGTGCTCCCTGCCAAACTTTTTAAATCTTGCAGTTGGGGAGGGAGAGGGATGGCCACTGGCTGTTGAGCTTCGGGGTGGATTGGAGCTGATATAAAAACAATGGCAGCCCCACCAGAAATCTTTTTGCCCCACAAGCCACAAAATCCTGCCTATGGCCCTGGACTGGCCCAAGATCACCCGGCAAGCTTCTATGGCATGAATGGTGACTCGATCCTAGTCTGACATTTTAACCGCTACACCATACTGGCTCTCGTGATGGAATAGCATGTTGGAATTTGAATCTTTTTTATTGGCATGATTATATATATACAAAGGTAAATAAATTTTTCACTGTCTGCTTTGCTTTTCTGGCTATTAAACAAAGTTTGAGTCCAGTGGCTCCACACATTGTCCTGCTGCTTCAGACCAACATGGCTACCCACCCAAAATTATTTTCTGGCCATCATTATTATTCATTTTATTTAATGATTATGACTGAAAATAATTTTTTATCTGGTCTATTGTAATTAATATTCTAGGTATTATCCTGCTTTTACAGCATTATACTGTACCTTTGTAATTCCACTTACGACACTTTTTATGGTATACTTTACCTTAGGCTGTTTGTTGTCTTTTAATTCTGTGCTATAGCATTGTTCATTTAATGTTTTATCCTATTTGAGTACATTGCTTTTGTTATGTAATTTCTCCTGAGTCTCGGGAGAAAGGCAGGCTACAAATAAAGTAAGCAAAAAGATAAATAAGGGATCCTTTTCACATGAAGGTTTTCCTATGGTTTGGGTGATGAACCACAGTGCTTTTTCTCCAGGCTTCTCATTTCCTTATTTTTCCATTTGCTGTCATTCTGTGGTTGCCTTGTCATTTATCCATGCTTTCTCAATGGGAACATTACCGTCTGTAGGACTCCTGAGCAATGTTCCCTCTAAGCTCCTCAGTGTTGTGAGCGAAAAAAGTTAGTAGCATTAAATTTTCTTTCATGGATAACGTAGAAGATTGAGAAATCAAAAAGCACTGGGGGAGAGGATGGCTTTCGTTATGAACGTGAAAGATAAGGTCCAAGAACCAACACATACATAGCCAGCTGCAAAAGAGAGAGTGGCTGTATTTCTGGTATGCCCATACAGGCATACCGTAGCTGAGTTTACATTCATGCTAGTTAAACTTCGGGAAGGGACACACTTTCTTATTAGTGATGTGTTCTCAGCTTTTAAATTCTGGCTGCACCTCCTCTATAGAAGTGAGCCTAATAGTCTCATTGCTTATATGCTATGAGAATCTCACCTATCAGATTGGTTGACACGTGTTGAAGGGAAAATTACACTGATGGGGCTCAGCATGGATGATTTGATCCTTCTTTCAGAGAAGTATGCTTTTGGCATGATTAAACAGCGATTGATCGATATAGAAATGCAAGAACTTAGAAGCCTTGCTACTGGGCATTGCTCTCCCATTCATTGGGGGATTTATCTTAATGGGTCGCTGCCAGAGTATTTTTCCTGTCTGATTGATCCCTATATTAGAAGGGTATTCACGTTTTAATGTCAAAAAAGTCAGAGAAGGGGTCACAGTTTTAATGTGCTCCCCTCAGCTGTGTTATATGTGAGATTTTAAAAAATACCATTCCCAGATAGGTTATGTCCCTGTGGGCTAAAGGAGATTGAAGGAACGGATCATGTACTTCTGACTCGTAGGTTTTACCAGGATTTGTGCGCTTATCACCTCGTCCCTATACTGCAAACCCTGGAGGGCAAATCTGAGGAAAGTAAGATAATGAACCTTCTAGCCTCAAGCAGGGCTGATACCATCAATGAGGTGGCAAACGTCCTTTACAGAGTGTATAGGAGGAGAAGTTCTTTTTTGGCAGAACGGGTAGTGAATTAACTGTTTTGCGTGCCTACCACCTCTGTACCTAAGGCTGCTGCTGCTTTTATGCCAATAAAGGTTTGTTGTGTTGTATGTGAATAATTTATACATTATAAGATAAAACATAATCAACTCAAATTTTACCCACCCCTTTCCACTATATTGGTAGTCTGGCCTCCAGAGAACAGGTCTACCCACCCCAGTCCTTTATATTGGTAGACCTGGTCTCAGACCATCACTCTGGACTGAGTCTTAGAAAACATATCAGCACTTGGGGAGGAGGGACCTCTTCCAGTCTACTTTGGGTTTTTTTTAGTGAAATATGACAACCAGCATTACAGGATGAGTATAACAGAAGAGGAACAATCACTGTCAGAATCCTGCCTAACCAAAGAAACAGGAAGTTGCTTAAATGATATCAACCTGCCCAAACTACTAATTTATTCAAATATTTATTTCCCACTTTTCCCTGTGACTCAAGGCAGCTTACAAATCATGCTGAAAAGCATAATGGGATGTGCAAAATAAATGGTCTTTTTCTTGCTCCTTTTTAGCCGATGGGGATCATTATAGTCAATAGGCCCCATAGGCTATTCTGCAAAAGTGTGATTCATTTCCAGAGGATGTTGTCTTGTTTGAAGGGTAAGAGATGAATCATCTTTAGTTGTGCAATTCTCTCTCAAAACTGAAGTTTGTAGCACAATACCCTTGAAACCCCCCCCCCCCCAATGGAAACTGTTGGAATACCATGAAACTACAAAGTGGTTTCATGGACTTCCAGACAGAGTTTGGGTCAATTAACTGAACTGACATTGCGTACTGAGACTTTTAAGCACAGTTCTGTATTGCGTAAGGTTTGCATCAGGTCCTGCAGAACAATGTCAAGCAAGAGATCTTATGCTTGCAGCTCTAAATGAATAGTTTGATATAGCTGGACACTAGCACCTTCAGTTAAAGCAACGGAGCATTTAGTGTCTGGATGACTGTGGTCAAGCCTGCAGAAGGTCCCAGTTCCCCCCAGGCCACCAGCAGGGAATGGGGGGGGGGGAGGATTGCCAGATACAAATTGGGAAACTCCAGGAGATTTGGGGATGGAGCCTGGAGCAGACAGTGACCTCAGTGGGGTACAATACCATAGAGTCCACATTCCAAAGCATCAGTTTTCTCCAGGGGAACCAATCTCTGTAGTCTGGACATGAGCTGTAATAATGGGGGATCCCAGGCTGCTTTTTCTCCAGGCTTCTCATTTCCTTATTTTTCCATTTGTTGTTCTTCTATGGTTCCCTTGTCATTTATCCATGCTTTCTCAAAACAATGCACAGAGAAAAGATGAGCAAGCCGCAGAAAGACAACAAATGGCAAAGTACGTCAGGAAGCTCAGAGAAAAAAAATTGGTGTGGTTCAGCACTCAAAAATCAAAGAAAAACCTCTGTGTTAAAAGTCCCAAGGTTCGCCTGTGGCTCATGCGGACTCAGTTCATTCGAAACACAATTATGTATATACATACATGCCAAATTCTGTCTGATGATAAAAAGGGAAAGCTGCTCATATCTGTTCCATTGCATGGAGGAAAGTAACTTGCAGTGCAATGCTGATGGGAGTTGCCCCCTTCGAAGTCCATTGATTTCTGTGGCCTTGTAACTCTGTTTAGGATTACAGTGTGAGGCTGAAGGATGAAAATGGCATACACTGCAGGAAGGTATTACAGAAGCACTGTAGTCAAATTTAAACCTTCAGTTAAGTTCCCCTTTACCTTTGTGAAAAATCGTTGGTGTAACAAAATGTTTGTGCTTGGGCCAGTTGGAAATAATGGAATAATTATTCTCAAGTAAGCAGTATTTGCCTTCAAACCAGTATTTGCTTTACATATAATTGCTTCATGAGTGTTTAGCCTTGGATGCAATTGTATGTCTCATCATTAGTCCAGAAGTGTAGCTATGTTAGTCTGTAACAAAAATGACCGAGACTCCTATGGTACCTTCAGGACTAACAAGACCTATGGCATAAATTGGCCATGTGTTCCTCATGTGTGAATCTAGATTGCAGCTGGAATATTATAGAATGAATACGACCAGCTTTTTGCACAATTTCACCCAGTTCCCTTACATATGGCAACCCCCCATCCCACATGGCGTTTGTCTAGGCAAGTTCCATGATTGCCAGCATAGCCTTTTCGGATCCATGATTGCCAGCATAGCCTTTTTGGATCCATGCCTCCCTATTTCACCTTTGGAAATGTTGGCTTGGATCTACCCTCATGGTTAGACTGTTTGCTTTAAACAGAAATACAGATTATTCTTACAAGCTAATTGACAGGTGTAAAAAATGCAGACATTTTTGGTCACTCATAAGCTACCTCCAAGAACATCAAAGCAACTTCTGGTTTAGACGTGGCCTTACAAACATAGTTCTAACTGCAAAAATGGACCTGCATGCCAACTTCGACTCTCCCAGCAGCCTCTTCCTGTTGTTTCCCCACCCAATATTGTTAGATCAGCTGTTGCCCAATCACAGGCTTCTTGTGGAATAGGGTCCCAAAGATGTGTTGGCATATGCAACGTCTTTTGTACAAGAGAAGCTATTACAGGGGACAACATAGGGAAAAGCAAGTCAGATAGTGGGGAATCCACCAATGTGGGGATCCGGAGGACAGCCTTGATGTGGTCTGTCTCATTTCTCCAAGGTCGGGGACAAAGGGTTGTGTTAGGGGAGAAGGTCTCACCATGATATGTGGTGTCCCCCAGATGCAGTCCTCTCTCCAATGTTATTAAGCATCTATATGCACCCCCTTGCCCAGCTTGTGTGGAAGTTTGGGCTAGGGTGTCACCAGTATGCAGATGACACCCAGTTGTATCTGTTGATGAGCAAATGCTGCCCCAGATATTTTGGCCAAGGGATTGGAGGCTATGGTTGCTTGGCTAAAACAGAGTTATTCCGCCAGTCCTATGGCTGAGGGCAGCAGCAGTTTTCCATCCTAGACTGACCTCCTTCCTCCTTCCCTTCCCCTTTCCTTCTTGTCAGATTTTAGGATATTTATTTCCCTCCTGGGATAAAGAGCACTAGGTTGTGCCCCTTTTATACGCCATCTATTAGTTGTTATTAGTTGCTGTTATACTGTTGTATTATAGAATTGTTTAAATAATATTAACTGTATGGAGTGTTTAATGAATGCTGTTACCCTCTCTGATCCCTGTATGCAGGGGAGGGAGGGCTATAGATCACATGAATAAATGAAATGAATAAATCAAATAGGGATGTGGGTCACTTCTTTCTTCTGCTAAATGTCACTTTCTTGTTTGTCCCCAGAATTCAACTCTCAGTCTTCTTTCATGCTTCTTGTCAGGTTTTTGTTCTCCTCTCTTCTCACCAGCCATGTTAGATAGGTTGCTAATCTCTTCCTTTCTAAATAAACTACTTTGTTTTGTTTTTTTAACTGGCCCTGTTTTCCTGCGCATAAAATAGCCACTCTGATAACAAGAATGAACAGGAGGCCAATATTTCTGTCACAGGCCCTAGTGGGGTGGTTCAGTGCAGACACCATTTTATTGTTGTTGTATTTTAATTTTGTAGACAACAATTGAAACATAATTGCTTGGGGGAGGGGATAACAGCTCCGACCAAAACACATAACTTTGAAAACATCCCCAAAAATCCAAGTGAAAGGTAATCTAAAATCATGTTTAATATGCTCTTCTATTCCATAGCCAATGCCCAGAAGGATTTATGTGTGTAAAAGCTGGTAGAAATCCCAACTATGGCTACACAAGCTTTGATACCTTCAGCTGGGCCTTCTTGTCTCTCTTTCGACTGATGACTCAGGACTACTGGGAAAACCTTTATCAGCTGGTAAGGCTGTGCCATGAGGCAAGCTTAGTCCTGTCATAGTAAACCAGAGGTACACTTTTTGTCTCATCTTGAGTCCAGAGGCAGCTGTCTCAAAGATGCTGTGAATAGTTCATATAAGGGACAGAAAACATTAAGATGCCTGGTGTGTCATGCAGTACATTTTAACCCACTCTTGGAGTCCTTATGGTTCTCCCCCACGCACTTTTTGTCCTCACAATAATCCTATGAAAAGGTTAAGCTGAGAGAAAGTGCCTGGCTCAAGGTTACATGTGGAGTTTCGAGGCTGATTGAGGATTTGATCCTGGGTCTCCCAGGTAACAATTCTGTCACACTTGTCTCTCTGGTTCTGAATGCAAACTCTTAGTCTGGGGCAAAAGTAAGATGAATATGGATTTTTGAACACATACATAAACTAGTTAAAGAAAAAGGTTTTCCTGGCGTTTCTGGCTATTGTTTTATGGATTATTTCAAGGGGGACCATTTTCATTCATAATCTGTTAGATTAGATGTTTCTTGTTATTTTCTGTTTCTATAAACAGTTTATTTATAAGCTCTTAAAATTTGCCTTTTTAATTTTCTGCCTGAAAAACAATGAATGCAGATTTGCTGTGGTTTTGCACTCTAAAAATGATGAACAGGCAAAGATCTTTAGACTATAACTAATGGAGATCAAATGGATGAGACCGTGTTGTTTTGTGCCCTCCCCCCCTCCAGACCTTGCGAGCAGCTGGCAAAACGTACATGATCTTTTTTGTCCTGGTGATCTTTCTGGGCTCTTTCTATCTGATCAACTTGATCCTCGCTGTCGTCGCCATGGCCTACGAAGAACAGAATCAAGCCACCATGGAAGAAGCGGAGCAGAAAGAGGCGGAGTTCCAGCAGATGCTTGAGCAGCTGAAAAAACAACAAGAAGAAGCTCAGGTATCTTCCTTTTAGAAAGTGTAGTTGTGGAATTGGCTAAAATGAACTACCATAAGTTAGGTCTTACTAAATTTTATTTGCCATTGGTTGCTCTAGTGAAACAGACAAAATTAAGAACTTCTGTAAAGCTAACAAAAGAACGACTCTTCTGGTGGTGGAGGAGCTGCTATGGCTACTGTTTTAAATATTTATTAATTACCAAATGTGTGCTGGTCATGGGGCATATTTCAACATGCAGTTTCCCTCCATGGCTCCCCTTCTCTTGTCTACCTGAAGAAAGCTCAGACTAATTGAGGCCAATGTTCCCTCTAAGCTGTGGAGTCTTGTGAGGAAAAATTCTACCTTGTGAGCTACTGGTAGTTGTGAGTGAGGCTAAAAAACTGTGAGCTAGCTCACACTAACTCAGTTTAGAGGGAACACTGATTGAGACATTTGTGTGTCTCCTTCCCCAAGGGGGAATCCACTGGTCTAAGACAGTCCATCTAGAGTTCTGTAGCCTGTGTGGAATAACCACAAACCACTCGCCTTCCCTACTTTTTTAGCTAGTCTACCAGAAAGACCTGAGACCACTTCTGTGCCTTTAAAAGTGTCCCAAATATTAACTCCTACCTCCGTACAATGATACCTGTGAGCATGCAGCATTTCTACAAAAGAAGAACTCAATGGAGGCTCTGTTGATCTGCATACTGTTACCCCAGTGATTCTTACGCAGCAGGCTTGAAGTGGTTGTTGTATCATAGGAACTTTTTGGCTATTAAGGGCAATGATTTGCATGATGACAGAGAGGAAGTATCCTCAAGGTCAGAGTGTAGGACATTCAGTTAAATCCCAAGGAAAAACACAATTCCATTGCTGACAACCTCGCTATTAAGTTTGGGACCTGTTTTCAAGGAACTATACTTACCTGTTTGTTTACACTAAATAAGAGTGGACTAATCATTGGCATTTGTACTTCTTTACTTTGTGATTATGTAATTTTGGAAGATACAATGAATGTCTCTGAGATTATTAATGTGGTAATCTAACTAATGCTAATTCCCTGACACTGTAACACAACAGACGACAGCAGCTGTGGCTGCAGCATCAGTTGCCTCAAGAGATTTCAGCGGCGTGGGCGGCTTGGGGGAGCTCTTGGAAAGTTCTTCAGAGGCATCTAAATTAAGCTCCAAGAGTGCTAAAGAAAGAAGGAACAAAAGGAAAAAAAGGCGGCAGAAAGAGCTCTCAGAAGCTGAAGACAGAGAAGATACCGACAAATTTCCTAAATCCGAATCAGAAGACAGTATCCGAAGAAGTCGCCTGTCCTATGAAAAGAGGACATCACCTCACCAGGTACAGTACAATTCTCGTTTCAGCTGTAGTGTTCTAGTGTGGTGGTAGACTTCACTGCAGGTTACTATTGCTAGGTAATGTTTTTTGCAAGAAATGGGACAAAGTTTGTATTTTTATTGATTACTTATCTGTGGAACTGTCTTCCACCAGAAGCCTGCTAAACTGTGTTCTTACAGACTTTCAGAAAATTCATGAAGCGTTTTTTTAATACAGCCAAGCTATGCAAATAGAGATTGACTTGGATTGCAGTTTCTCCCAATTAATTGTGCGGAATAAAGTAAACAGAGTGTGACCTGGGCTGCTTTTGAGAGGGAGCAAAATGTACTTTTTGCTCCATTCTATGATATTACCAGTGACAGGGAGACCATAGGTTTAGCGCAAACCCCAGTGGTATTCCTGAGTGCATACCTTTTATTTTCTCCTGTATATGAACAGCTACCATTCTTTGCTATTGGTGGGAAATGAATGACTGAATCTGGGGCCAATGTAGTGGTGGAGAGCAAAGTCCCTCTGCTGGCAGTGGCTCTGTTGGAGAAGCAGTCTCATTCCTCCTCTCATCAGTGGAACTCCAAGTTTGCAGTTGGGTGTGGGGGGAGAGATGCTTCTGCTTTTTCCTCGCCTTTAATGCAGATGCAAGCAAGGTTAAGAAACATTCCTTTCCTTCTCATAGCCTGGAGGCTAGATTTGGCTTGGGGGCATGGGTAGGGGCAGAATGAAGTTTGGCAGAAGCAGTGACCTCAGTGCTGGTGGGGGAATGCCGGTTCTCCCACCCAGTCACTAGGGTTGCCTATTCCAAGTTAGTCTGAGTAATAGATCTGCTTGTGGGACATGATGAAGGCTGCTGCGGTGGCCCCTGACACCTCTTTTGCCTCCTCTACCACAGCCACGGCTCCTGTCACCAAGTCAACTGCCTTGCCTAAGGCCCCCCAACAGGGATGTCGTGCAGCAACGTCCCTGACGTGATGATGTCACACAGAAGTGATGTCATCATGTTGAGATGTCACACAGCGATGCTCTGCTTTTGGGGCAGAACTCCTTGGTTTAGGCCCCCCCAAAAAAATAGTTTTGCCCAAAATGCAGAGCATTGCCGCGCAACAATCCCAATGTGGTGATGTCACTTCTGCATGATGTCATCATGGGGGATGTCACACGATGTCCCTGCCCACCCCTGGAACACCCCTCAAATCCCTCCGGCAGCAAGCCAAAGGGACCTGGAAACCCTAATATGGCATAATGTTTCATGCTGATCTAAAGCAAAAACATGCTTAGTGAAAACAGAGACATTGACGTGTAGGAGAAGAAACCTGAGAGACAGGCAAAATATTAGAAAAGCTTCATCCATTGGGACTCTGTAGTTTTGGAGATCTAGGAGTCCTCCTTTTTATTAGGACCAACTAAAAAATTACAAAACAGTAAGAAAGGTTTTATCACCTTCCCTCCCCAAATTCTTTCTCAGGCTGGATGGAGATTCAGTGTAGCAAAGAAGGAAGGGGGAAGGGAAGAAAAAGATGTTTCAAGGCCTGAGGAAAAGTCCCAAGCGAATCTGCAATTTATAGCAGTCTTAAAATGGAGTACAGAGCTGCTGCACACAAATTCAATTATTTGGAGTTTGGTACAAACAGGTTACAAGTTGCATCGAGGATATTGGGACACAGAAACACAAAATGGTTACTCTCCTTTTGAAAAATATAAAAGCCAGCAGTGATTTGCATCAGTCCCCATATTGTGTGGACTTAATCCCAGTGTAATGAGTATACATCTGAAACAATGGTAAGGGATAAAAAGTAATTTCTAAAAAAACTTCACTTCAGTCAGTGTTACAAAGCTATCAAAACATCTCGTAAATGGACTGATTATGGGTATTGCTGCTACAGCATAATAAAATGGACCCCACTTCCTAATCGTTCTAAATTCATTTGAAATGATTTTTTAAACTGCTAAAGCTTAACTCCCTTATATATAAAAGCCGAATGGTGGTGGCACTTCTCTAGAACACTCCACACGCTCCAGAATTGGTTGGCGCCCTGGTGTGTCACTCAGAATCTCCCTCCCCCCCATAGCCAGTCAGAACACAGAGGTTATTTGCAGATGCAGCCTCATTGCCCTTTGCCTCGGAACACAGAGGTCGTTTGCATATGTGACTTGATTGGCTTTTGCCTCTAACATTCTAACACTTTGCTGTTCTGAGGTAAAATCTGTCCAATCTCCAGGTGAGGGCTGGCGATCACTCAGAATTACAACTGCTTTCCAGATGGCAGAGATCAGTTCCCCTGGAGAAAATGGTGGGCTCTGCTGAGGTGGCCCCCATTATGACAGCCAATGTGACGTAGCAGTCAGGGCTTCAGAGCACGGGAGAGGCTGCAGGTGTGTGTGGGGTGGAAAGCTGAAGAGTGAGGGGGAAATAAAGGTAGTTTATGATTGGCTGGGCAGGAGATAGGGTTGCCAACTCCAGGTGGGAAATTCCTGGAGATGTGAGGGATGGAGCCTGGAAAGGGTGAGGTTTCAGGAGGCGTGGGACCTCGGACAGGTACAAAGCCATAGACTCCACCCTCCAAACCTACCATTCCCTTCTGGGGAACCATCGTTGCAATTCTCCAGGTGAGGGCTGGAGATCACTCAAAATTACAAAAAAACAACAAAAGTTTTTGTTGTTGTAGTCTACTGCGTAATTACTATGCTGAGCATTTTAGTTGTGATTTTATTGCGAGCTGCCTTGAGTGGGTCTCTGGAAGAGGCACCTTATAACTACACTAAATAAATTAATAGTGTGATTAGAGTGTTATTATAATTGGGATTACTATAATATAATAATAATAATATAATCTTTCAGTTTATTGATTGCTCAATCCTGCAGAGCTTGCTGGCTCTGACCGATTTACAGTTACTCATTTTTCACGAGGGACTAACAATGCTTTGTGGGGTAAGGGAGGACAACATATATACATCTTAAATTGCACACATTCACAGCCGACGAGGGTTTCGTTCAGATGCAGATGAGACGTGATCTGGAACATGACTGACATGTCAATGTGAGGTTGAGAAGCTTGATCTTGTAACCATATAATTTGAACCAACAGGAAATCCAATCAGAATAGTCAAGAGAGTGAGTATTGCAGGTTTAAAGTATCCCAATCTGAAAGCAAAGCAGTCTAAAAGGCAGAAGTCAGTAAAACTTAATGTAAGGGTTGTTTTCTCCAGCTATGGTGATAGCTTTAATTATTCATGAGTGCTACTAATAAAATATGCAGAGAGGGAGGAAAGAATTCCATTAAGGAGTTTCTTGGTAGTGCAAGACTAGATGGACAACCAGCACGAATTGATTCCCCCCCCCTTTTCTCAGTGGTAATGTCACCATCCTTAGGTCTCCTGAGACTGAAAGCAGTAATTGATTAGGAGAAAGCAGTAATTGATTAGACAGCTTGATTGATAGATGGCAGATTAATAATATAACTTTAGTTAAATGGAACTAGCCTTTTGGTTTTTGACCAGTGGTTGCAACAGCTGGCTAGTTTTTTGCCCCCTTCTTGCCTCAGGAACCATCTCCACCATCCCTTATGTTGGAAGCATTCCCCGTGAGGATACTGTAGGGTGGTCATGACTACGTATAGGTGGTTAAGGGATATTCTGCAAAAGTGTGACTCATTTCCAGATGATGTTGTCTTGTCTGAAGGGTAAGAAAAGAATGGATCATCTTGAGTTGTGCGATTCTCTCTTAAAACTGGAGTATGGAGTTTGTAGCACAATACCCTTCGTCCCCCCCTCCCATAGAAACTGTCCTGTCCAGCGCAAGCTGCACTAAGCCAACACTTTCTAGGTATGAGTCAACGCACGACCACTGAGGAGAGCTTAAATCATCTTTATTTAACTTCACACGCATTCAGAAGATCATTTACTCACAATCAAGCTGATAGCTGGGTGGAAAGTTACATCTTGTGATCTAGGTCAGTTCTATAGCCGTGGTGAGAAAAGAAATGTGCTTCCCACTCCTTGCGGTAAGTGAAGATGGACAAAGAAATGGAAAAGAACAATAAAACTCCTATCTTCGCGCCTCTGAGCTCAGGAAATTACTCTTAATGAGCCAGTCAGAGGGAAGCTTCTGGGACCCCTAACTGAGAACTACAATTCCCAGATGCAACTACTCTTAAAGATACACAGCAGTTTTACTAAACTACAGTTAACACTGACTGGGGGCAACACAGAAACTGTTTGAGTACCATGAAGATACAAAGCGGTTTCATGGACTTCCAGACAGAGTTTGGGTCAATAAACTGAACTGACATTGCATACTGATACTTTTAAGCACAATATGGCATAAGGTTTGCATCAGGTCAAGCAAGAGATAATTATGCTTGCAGCTCTAAATGAATAGTTTGAGCAGTCAGTGTTCTGGATGACTGTGGTCAAGCCTGATTCAGATATGGTAGGGTTGTCGCTTTCCCCTAGGCCACCGGAAGGGAATGGACAGGTAGGGTTGCCAGATCCAGGTTGGGAAACTCCAGGATATTTGGGGATGGAGTCTGGGGCAGACAGGAACCTCAGTGGGATACAATACCATAGAGTCCACATTCCAAAGCATCCATTTTCTCCAGGGGAACCGATCTCTGTAGTCTGAACATGAGCTGTAATTCTGCGGGATCCCAGGGTCCCACCTGGAGGCTGGCATCCCTATGGGTGTGCACTTAGAAACCCTGGACATCTAGTTAGATTTCCTTTACCAGATAATTTAACTCCTACTGAGTACACCTCAGTAATGCTATAGGTTCGTTCTGGGTTTAGTACACAAGTAAAAATATTAGAGAGTCTCTGCTTCCATTCTAAGCTCGTTTGTTAAAGCATATAACCATTGCACTCTTAATATAAACTAAATCATCAAAGCATTATGCTCTCCATCCATCATTCTTATGTAGCTAATTAAACGAGAGCAATTACTTGATTCCATAAAGGTTTCTTACCCCAAAAGTAAGCAGGTCACAGGCGAAAATCCTCTTCTGAGAAGAAGCTCTCGATCAATACAACTTCCCCTATTAATAGGATTTTAGAATCATCTCCGAACAATAGAACATAAGAACATAAAAGACGCCAATGTTGGCTCACTCTGTCACACAGTGGCCAAAAATACCAGGTGCCATCAAGAGGTCCACCAGTGGGGCCAGGACATTAGAAGCCCTCCCACTGTTGACCCCGCCCAAGCACCAAGAAGACAGAGCATCACTTGCCCCAGAGTCCCTATCTGCTCCATATCTATATACTAATAGCGAAGGCGCCCCCTTGCATGCGGATACTTATTTCCGCGCATCGGGGGCACCTGGGGGGGAGGGAGATTTTCGTGCACACTTGGGGCAGTCCCCAGGTGTGCACAAAAATCTGAAAAGTTGGAAAAAATATCGGGGGGATACTTAAATCCCCCCCAAAAGTAACAGAGCGTCCACTGCACGTGGAGATTGAGTCGGGGGTGGAGGAGGCCGGGGGGGAACCGGTGGGATGGGGGGAACTTACCTCCTCCTGCTGCTTCCTCCTCTGCCTGATAAGTGTGCAGCTCCCTCCCCCCTCCCGCGAGTATCGCGGGTCCCGCCCCTTGTGCTTATCTAATTCCCTTTTGAAGTCATCCATGCTTGTCGCTGCCACCACTTCCTCTGGCAGTGAATAGCTTCCTGTCCCACTAGATAAGGGCCCACATTCTTGGCTTACTCATTATCTTATAACTTTAAACACCATACAAGGTTATCTTTAATTAGAATACCTTTTTAGAATATATAATATATGTTAGTTTGTTCTTGCTAGTTTTTATCTTAACAAACTCTATTTAAAAATAACGATTACAGGTTTCTCATACATATAATTGTCTTCTGGTCCTCAACCAAAGACTCCTGTCCTTGAATCATATGTGAAGTTGGACCTTCTTGCAATTTTCAGATGCTTCTGCACCTGGGGCTGAACAAACTGCATCTATTGATAATGTGTTAGATGGATTTTCATCTACACTAGACCATATAATTGTTGCTGCTTTGTGCTGATCCTCAAGGCTATTCTATTCTAGGTCTCTAGACTCCCTTCTTGGCAGGCTTCCCTGAGCGGCCATTTATGTGTGCAGCAGCATCCTCTAGGATTTTTTTCGGACACGTCCATCAATTGTTCCCCTGTATTTCTGGCCATATCCGTGACGCTGGTCACTGGCTCTTTTTTTTAAAAAAACTGAATGCTAACTATTCAATTCAATTCAAATACCTTTTATTGGCATACAATATTAAAAGCGTTTCCCAATAATACAATCCAAGAGAAATTATAAAATAGATAGTCGTGGCTATGTCAGGCCTAACTCAAGTTGTCACAAGTTAGATTTGACCATACAAAAGATGCCTGAATCATAAAATAAACTGGCATTCCAAACTTTTAAACTTAAGTTTTTAAACTTATAAATTAAGAATCATTAATATGATCAGGGTTACTCTTCCGTTTTATAAAACAATGGAGAAACTTAGCGGTCAGTTCAATGATCTCCAGATCTCGTGAAGCAAGGAGAAATTGTACCTTGATTCTATCCGATTGGCCTGCTACCAACCTAAGGGGGGCTTCTATACACTCCACTCGAATGTCATTTAACAATGCTAACTATTCTTGTTTTCCTCTCCCTACCCAGTCTTTGCTGAGCCTTCGTGGATCCCTGTTTTCCCCAAGGCGCAGTAGCAGAGCGAGTATCTTCAGCTTCAGAGGAAGAGCAAAGGATATAGGATCGGAGAATGACTTTGCTGACGACGAGCACAGCACCCTTGAGGACAATGAAAGCCGAAGGGATTCTCTGTTTGTGCCAAACAGATATAACAGCGACCGCCGCAACAGTAATGTCAGTCAGGCGAGTTTATCATCGAGGATGATACCACCACTTCCGGCAAACGGGAAGATGCACAGCACTGTGGATTGTAACGGGGTGGTCTCCTTAGTAGGCGGGCCTCCTACACTCACTTCGCCCCCTGGACAGTTTATACCAGAGGTGATCAATGGTCCTCTTTTTTACCGATCACACGTGCTGCCATGATTGTCATGAGTCTTACAAGGGAATCTCTGAACTTTGTGACTGTCCCTTTCTGTAGGTTTGCCAGCTCTGGGTGGGAAAATACCTGGAGATTTTGGAAGTGGAGCCTGGGGAGGGTGGGGATTGGGGAGGGGAGGGGAGGGACCTCAACAGGGTGTCATGCCGTAGAGTCCACCCTCCAAAGCAGCCATTTTTTCCAGCAACACTGATCTTGGTCATCTGGAGGGCGATTGTAATAGTGGGAGATCTCCAGGTGCCAGCTGGAGGTTGGCAGTCCTACCTCTTTTTTATATCTGGAGGGAAATCTCAGGTTTCCCAGACAGCTCTGCTGACATGCTTATATATCAGTTCTGCTTGTGTGCTTATTTTTGAATGGCACTTGGTACATGAAATAGTAAGACAAAGGTGTTAACAATTTCAAAAGATCAAGCAGTGGAGTAAGTGTTTGTGTGTATACAAAGTACAGCGTTTAAGCGATTCTTGAAAGTGCCCTTACCAGCTTGGAGGCAGACTAAAGTTTTCACAGGGTCCAGAACTTCTGCCCGCAGAGCACAATTTTTCTGCCTCACCCCCTCTTGTGGCAGCTCCAGATACCCCCTAAAATCCTATTCCTTTCCAAGATTTCCAGGGGCATTTTGGGCTGCTGCAGGAGGAAAGAGGCAGGAAAATCACACTCTGAGGGCAGTAGTCCATCGTGCCCCCAAAAATGTTACACTGGATCCAACCGACTGCGTCGTATCCAACCAAACTATTTTCTCTTTTGGCTCAAACTTGAGGAGAACAAGTCTGAGCAGAAGAACCCTATTCTTGCTCCTCTGCCATCTTGTTCATCTTGTGGATAGAGTTACTGGATTACAGCTACTTGCTTACCTGGGAGTAAGTCCAATTGGATGTAGTGTCACTTATGACTAAACCTGTGTAGAATTATGCTGCAATTCATCTTCTTTGATTTGTACATTTATAACTGACATAGGCTGTTAGAGTCATTTTTAGGTGTAAAACGGACAATTTTATTTTATTTCTGCATTATATTAACACCCAGTAAATTTAACTAAAGTGATAAAAGAAAGTGGCAAAACTACAACAGAGTGCCAAAGACCTTTTTGGAGAGAAAACTTTCATTTTCCTTCTGTTTGTTCCTTGCCCATACTTCCTTTTTATTGTCTGTTCTATTTTTACATTGTGACTTTGTTCTTTAACACCCTGGCTATATCTAAGTTCCTTTATTGGGGCATTGTTTTCTTGCATTCCTAGGGTTATTAAGACTCACATTGCATATTAGATTTTTTTAGGAGGACCCTTAAAATATTTAGAGGATGTATGCAAAATATAAATGTGAATAAAACAAATGTGTGGGTTGGATCCTGGTAATAATTTTTGCTAATGAAGGAGGGTAAATGAATTTCACCCTTCCTACTATAGAACTTCCGTTTCACTAACAGAAGTGCCTTCCATGCGTGGAAATTATTAGGGATGTGCAAGTTGGATTCAGAAATATTTGGGAGCACCAAATAATGTTATATTTAGAATAATCCTGTCCTTATATATAAAGCCATTTTCGCGTCCAACGTTCGATGCGCACCAACAGTGGTTGGCTGCAAGACCTGCCAGTCAGAAGACACTGGCTGGGTTGACTGGCTGCTTTGCGGAGTCCCGCCCATGTCAGCCCCGGCCAGCCTCCTCGCCTCACTCTGCTCTGATCCTCAGACACGACAGGACCATCTGCAGGGTAAGTGCAGGGACAGGCCCTCAAGGCAGAGGCAGGCGAGCCAGGGAGCTCTCCGGAGGTCTAATATGCAATGTGAGTCTTAATAACCCTAGGAATGCAAGAAAACAATGCCCCAATAAAGGAACTTAGATATAGCCAGGGTGTTAAAGAACAAATGTCTCCCTTGGGCTTCTCTGGCTGGGCTGCTTTGAAGCAGCCCAGCTGGAGAAGCCCCGCAGAGTCGCCATTTCCTCCCACCAGTCCTGCACCTTATCAGGGCCCTGCCAGGCCCACAGTCATCGGTCCCCTCTTCCCCCCTTCCCCCAGTCCCGCGGCTTCTCTGGGCCTCGCCAGGCCTGGGGTTGCCGCTTCCTTCTCCCCCCCGAACTGTCCCCGCGGCTTCTTTGGGCCTCACCAGGCCCAGAGTCGCCACTTCCTCCCCCCCGGACTGTCCCCGCAGCTTCTCTGGGCCTCACCACGCCCAGAGTCGCCGCTTCCTTCTCCCCCCCCCATCCGGGAGAAGCTTTCACTGGCCCCGCCCCACTTTGCCCACCCGCCCGGAAAGCCGGACAGATGGGAGAAGCTTTTTTAGGCCCCCCGCACCGCTTCTCCCACCTACCTGGCAAGCCGGACGGATGGGAGAGGCTTTTGCAGGCCCCCCTGCCTCCCCCCTTCTTCCTTCCTTCCTTCCTTCCTTCCTTCCTTCCTTC